TATATATTTATATATATATACTTTAAATAAAATTCTCCTTTTTGAATTATATTGGTGCACTTTAAGTATTTATTTATCAGTCAATTTATATATTTCCACTTTTATTTTTAATTATGTCAGTTTCGGTCCTCCCTACTGCAGAAGCCTGATAATCACCAATTTATTCAAATCAGGTGTGTTTGAGCAGAGAAAAAAATAAAACCTGTAGGGCTGCGGCCCTCGAGGACCAGGATTGCCCACCCCTGGTCTAAACAGTGATTATATTATGCTTCCAGTCATTCCAACTTACAGCAACAATGAGGACTTTTACTATGAAAGTGTAAAATATGAATAAAACTAATTTATAATTATGATTGTATATTAAAGTCAATATAACGGCAGATGTAAAGAACTAAGAGTATTTATGAATGTATTTGGGTTTGATTTTACAATTTTTATTGCTGTAAAAATGTCAAAAACCAGACTGAGCTTTGGGTTTGATTTGTTTGCAGCTTACAAAGACCTTCAGTCCCGAGAGGACACCAGGAACGCTGTCTGGCAGCAGGAGGGCTGGCACGAGGTGGTTTATTACACAGGTGAGGAAAATAAATCTTGATATTTTTAATGCATATGAAATAAAAAGGACTAAGCAGTACCTAAATCAACTCTGTCCCTCAGTGCCACTCATTCAGCGCATGGATTCGAGGATCATGATCCCAACAAAGGCGTCCCCGCTGAAGTGAAACAAGCCAGTCACGTTTTATGAATGTTACATCCAACCTGAGAGTCGCCGCCATGGGTCCAACCTGTCAGTGCTACCAAACAACACACACCTCTTTTTAAAAAATTGTTTTTATTTGCTTTATTCCACCTAGACAAAGGAGGCAACAATAAATGTTACACATCTGCGATTAGAATTCATGTTACAAAGGTAGCACGCTCCTGACACGCACAACTTTTTCCTGTTTTTGAGGGCGAGGGAATTCGAACAAGCTTAAAACCTTGTGACGGTCGGCATGTGCAGCTTTGCGTGCCGCGTCATAACTGGGCCCAAGAGGAGAGTTTACCATCAATTTTGCAACAAACCAAAGTTACTACATAAAATAAACTTACAAGCTGCAGAGCGTATTGGAGGACAGTAGTAACAGCGTTTATTTATTTAATAGAAAAATAAAGCGGGTAGTGTTTCGATGTGGTTAAGGAGCTCGGGAGTTGCGTCACTGCTGATCAAGATAAAAAAAATAATGTTTAGTTTCAAAAATGTTGCCACTCCAGATGAAAGTACGAGATGTTACGGATACCATTTTATATTTGCAGTTGATTATAAACACTGTTTCTTCTTTATGTTCCTTGTTGAAGTGATGTGTAAAGTTTCCCGGTGCTGTGTTTGTACTTCTTTTTTCTCATGACAGCATGCCTGGTTTTAAAATGAAAATTTTTTAATCCAGCAGGTGAAAACTGGTGTATAAATCAATGAGTGAAGCGGATAGGTGGACAGTCGTCATGCTTCGTACTGTAAGAACCAAGGGAACGTCATTTATCTTTTTTATTTTGTTGAACAGGAAAAAATGTTCAAAGACGGTAAAGAAAGATAATAAAGTTCCTCAGACATCCTTTGTAGCAYGTTGTCATCTTTAATGACTGAAGTCGCTGCACAGCTCTTAGTACAGAACACATTTCTAAAATAACTATCGCTCATTGCACATGCCTTAACAATACCTTCAGGTTAGCATGAGGTTTGGRTGTAAAAAGTGCAAAAGAAACACTAAAATCGTAATTTCCATGTAGACATTTTTTTGTTATTTTAAGTGTGTTATAAAAATCAACAGGGCAACACCCCATGATGTTTGACTAGTGTAAACAGTTTCTTTTATAAAAATCTATTCAACTCTAAAGAAAAGCGGGCGATGGGTAACAAAACCACCAGCGGCACGCCTTTGGGTGCAAATATAAAATGTTAAGTTAGTAACAGAACTCCCCCCCCCCACCCCAGTGATTTTTAAATCTTCTCCAGTTCCTTAATTAGCTCCTCGAAGCTCGTCACGTACCACGAGGACCTCTCTTTCACCTGAGTCCTGATGACGTTCCCGCCAAACCCAATGAAAGCGCTCTGAGGGGGAGAGATTGCACATTACCATCAAAAACACMGCTAAAATACGACAAAACTGATTAAAACGATTTTTACTCACAGCCGGAGGACAGGCCTCCAGGTCCGTGGCTCCGTCTCCGATCATCACCACCGTCTTGAAGCCGTATTGCTCCTTCAACATGCTGATTACCTTTCCTTTGCCGCCGCTCTCAGCTGTAGGCTGCGTTTCATCGAAACCAGCATACTCCCCTGCAGATGGGCAGGCGCAAACAGCTCAGACAGCGCAGGGAGAAGGAGAACAGAGATGTATCAGACGTGCTACCACTCACCGTTGAAGTAGAACTTGAGCCGGTTGGCGTAGACGTGATGCAAAGGAATATTCAGCTGAGTGGCCACGTGTTCGACGATACAACGAAACCCCCCTGAAATGAGGAATACCCGTATGTTGTGTTCATGCAGGTGCTCCACAAGCTCCCTGAAATTAAAATAAAATAAATTTTAAATCACTCTGAGTAAGAAACATCGACCGAATGAAAACTGAACTCATCGGTAACATGTCAGAGTAATCGAAATCCAAAGCATGAATTCCCTCACACAACAATCCTAAGTAGGTATGTGTCTATTAAGTTTATAGATGATTGTGAAGGGATGAAAGGTCAGTTGCTCTGATAAGGACATTTTCAATGGTGTAACTCRACAAACAGTTAAATTAGAAAGCATGCAGGAACATGAAAACTCAGCTATTAGGTGTGAAGCAAGTTTATATAGAACAGCTTGGAGTGCGCAGAAACCACGTCACCATGTGTTCGGCTGGTGAAGCTAACGGCTAACGCTAAACGGTCAAGAGTCTGGATTTATTATTACTGTACATGTTGACAACAGAGCAGAAAAAGAGGATTGATGTAGAAATCATAAAAACGATTAATAATAATATTAACCCAATTATTAATAATATTTTACAGTTTATTTATCTAATCTTTAATGTCAGAAAATCTGTGTTATGGATTTATTAACAGAAGADAAACAGGAAAACGTCTCATTTCACAAAACAAGTCAGCAGATTTGATCTTATTTAGCTCAATGTGATCTGAGCAGAACATAATGTAACAGTTTAAAACTAAAATAATCTTATAAAGTCCATGT